AGGAATGGTAACAGAACAGCATCATTGGTAGGAAAAGTCTGAGTCTGAGAAAATAATACTTCTATTAATATTTTTGTATGTATGCCTAAAACTAATCAACCCCTGTTCTTATCGAGTTACATTATATGGCTTTTAAATTTTTGAAATCCGTTTAGCCATTTTTGAGAAAACGCCGAAAGAATGGTAAAATTTTAGCTCCCAAAAGTTTAGCGGCCAAGTTGTTTCTTTGTAAATAGCAAAAAAACGTAGAGTGTTTCGTGCACGTTTTCGCCCACAATTTTGAATAGATTTTGAAAATTCAAAGATATTGATTGGAAATCGCGTTAATTAGTTTCTGGTATAGATCAGCCAGAAGACCGTTTTCTTCGTAATAAAATATTGAATTTTTTTTTTGACGATTTTGATAAAACTTTGTATGACTTAAGATTTCATACTAAACATACTAAAATATTAATGGTCTACAATAAGCGGTTGAATTATAAAAATTTACCGAAATTTAAATTTTATCATAGATTCTAATAAGAATCCACGCCTTTAGTCCATATGCCAGTTTCACGTTTCTTTACTCAAATTCCACTTATTTAAATGACCATTTTATGTCTAATCAAGTTGATTAAAACAATATTTTATTATAAAAATGTAAGAATTAATTCATCAATGTAACAATAAATGATGTACATCTATTACATAAGAGTTTAATGATTTATGGAAAAACGTTTATAAACCTAATATGTCCATTCCATTGCTAATGCAGTAATTGTACAATTACTAATAACAGTCGTGGAAAATTGAGACATAATAGAACATAGTTCTTAGAATAAGAGCTAAGTTTTTTTTATTTTCTAATAATATAAAATAAAATTAATAAATTATCGTTTTTTTTTTTCTAAAATAATTTACTTTCTTCTCTTGGTATGTAGCCAGGGAAGAAGTCACAGGCTTGCAACAAAGCAATAGTTATTGACCATTAAAACTAATTGTATAAATAATTTTTTAATTTTCTAGAAGTATTTTAATAAATTATTTTTATCCAATTAATGTTCAAACAAGCAATGAATGCACAATTATTCGATAAAGGATATTTCCAAATTATTTTCCAATCAAAAGAAAGATAGAATCATTTCAATTTTAGTGCAACAAAATTTTTGTTGAACATAAATTAATATAAAATTAAGTTTATAAGCGCAAAAAATTCATAATTATTCATTATTCTATATACAATATAACTATAAAACTTCTAACAATTTAAATTTAATCAATAAAATCGCTAAGATTGACTAAGACCAAGAAAAACCTGACAATATGCATATGAATCATATCAATAATCAAAACTTTCAATAATCTAACGTTAAATGAAAGTTTATTAAATTATTTAATAATATCTTTACTAGCTATCTTTCTAATATTGTATATGAATAATCACATAATATTGTCATAGTTTCGCATCTCACGCGCATTTTATTCAGTAATTAAGTTTTGCTAATGAAGCAAAATGCCCTTCAACTTGATCTTGAAGTATTAGAAATTATTTATTAAAAATTTATTTACTTAATATAGAGAAAATAAGCAATCCTAGAGATAAATAGTAATATTTGAAAACACGAATGAATATTGAGATATTATTATATAAATTAAATTTTGATTTTAATCTTAAGTGTTTGATTGTGTATTTAAAATTTCATTTACGTAAAATTAATTTTGAAGTAAAATTTTGAGTGTTACTTGAATAGTTTTGAGTGTTATTTTGAATGCTACTTTAATGCAACTATTTTTTTAAAAATTAATGTGTTAAAGTCTAACTGAATAAAAAACAGTAATATTTTATAAATGTCTCATTTACCATAATATCAGGACAATTTTATATTACTTATAAAATTAACAGTACCATTAATACTTGTATGAACCGCATGAATATGTTCATGTACTCTACTCTTGTGAAATTCTAAAATTAATTTTGATATGTTTGATACACGGTGTTTATTAAAAATTTCTAAATAAAAGTTTGGATTTCTACAGGTTTAATAATTTGCAAAAAGTACACTTGTTGATGATAGTACACTAGTCGATGATGAAGTAAATGAGCGCTTTTACAGCTTTCAGGAATTTGCGATAAGCCAATAAATTACCTGCATCGAATAGCAATTTAATTTAGGTGATAGTTGTATTTTTTGCCAATTATATACAAATCAGTATTCTTTGTCTCCAACAATCAAGGTCAATAATTATCAATTGGTTATAAATACAGGCCTAACACTTTACACGACTAGTAGTCTGCAACTGAGCAGCAAAGTTGTGAAGTGAAAAGTTTTAGTACCCCCTTCAGCAAAAAATCAGTTAAATGTAAGTAGTGATAATATTTTTTTATATTGACAATTATGTTTTATTATAGACACATAAAATTAAATTTTTTGTAAAATATTTTTAATATAGTACCTTAATTTATATAACGTTTAGCAACATTCTGTCGTATTTCATCCGAAAATATACACTATTTTGATTCTTGAGATAAGAAGAAAATTTTCTTATAATTGATAAGTTTTTAATATATTTTTTAATTTTTCGCTCTTTTAAGTTATATCTCTTGCATATTGTGATTTTATTATAAATATTAATTTATTTTTATTTCTATACTTTTGTTAAGTTGAATTAATACCATGTAAAAATAATATTGAAAATGTCCATGATATATTTACATATGTTTAAAAAAAAAATTCAATGAGGTAAATATTTGTTGCTTTTCTGGGTTTTATTGATAAAATTCTTAATTAATAAAACAAACAGAAAAATAATATAAATATACACAATAACCGCATAACATTTTCACTATTTTGTTGCCAATTTTTGGAGTAGCCCGTCAATCAACCAGGTATTTCAATTATAATTTCTTCTTAATGTGTTTCATGCAAATTAGTAGTCATAATCATTGCATAACTATAATTTACAGCATAATATTTTAGAAAGTACAATAGGACAGTGGTCATCGATAAGAATTTTGAGGAAAGTTATTATATTGCTAACGATCATCTTCTAAGATTGTCAAACATTTATTTGATTGGAGATTGAAATAAATGAAATGTATAAATTATAGGATAGGAGATCGAAATGAGTGAAATGTATAAATCATAGTACGGATTGTGAAATTTAATTGATATTTTTGGCAGATTGCCTGTGAAACGTTTCTGATGCATAGATAAAGTTGTATAAGAATTTGCATCGAAATTTCTCAGACGTGTCTAGGAAGAAATAAGTACCTTTGAGTAAGAAATAAAGACTATTCAAAAAAAATAAAAATTGTGTATAAATCAAATTAAAACTAGATAGTAGAAACCTCAATATAACTATTTTGTTATGAATTTAAATTAAATTTAATCCAAACATCATTTGTAAAGTATGCTACCTTCCGGAAGATTTGAATGCGGTTGGGCACATCGTCGACTCTTAGGCTGGATAAGATTATTTTATTTATAATTTTTTAAATCGCGTGTCCAGCAATTGAGAATCATTTATCCATGGTATCATCTCTCTTCTCAAATCCCATCAATCGAATGTAATGTCTCTACTTTCTCCGTAAACAACAAGTTTGCATGAATTTGACATAAGTCTTGCACGACAGTCTGATCGCGGACAACGTTCGGTAAAGTGCGGTAAATGAATTAAAAATTAAATAGTAATTGGTGAATAAATCGGTATGTAAATATTTTTATAAAATTAATAATAATATAATAATAATAATAATAATATAATACTTATAGTTCATCGAATTTTAGGAAAGTATATACTTCTGTTCAATTTTATTTGAATTTTTTGGCGATTTCCCAGCGATCATAAAACAACAAATCGTTCAATATTATTTGGGCAAATGATGTTAATTTTGTAAAAAATGTTTTGTGTTTAAATATGAAGAAAATATTTATTTTATGAGCTATTTTTATTAAAAATTTTTTTTTAATCTTTTATTAACTATAAAGTTACTGGTACTTACATGTTACTAGTATTCAGCAAATACACGATAATTTACGAAAAGAAAATAAATAAGAAACTGTAGTTTGCACATTAGGTACTAGAAATAAGTAAAACGTGTTGGTGAAATATATATTATATTATCGTTAATTATTTATAAAATACAATAATTTACTAATCATTTAATAGTAAAAAATACAAAATTTTAATTTATAATAAAATATGAAGTTCCAAATAATTGCTTATATTTTATAATATGCAGTTTCACAATCGAGTTTTCGTTTAATATTAAATAATCAGTCTCAACTAACTATTTAATTAAAATATTAATTTTAATATGTGTCTATTTATCAAATTCATGTCGTTTAAATTAAACATTATTTTAGAAGTATTTTATTATTACTGCTGGTAAGATTTTTTGTATATAGATGTATATAGTTTCCATGAATTTTATCACAATTATTGTATTGTTTTAAAATAATGAAGATGAATTTAAAAAGCAAATACGTATATAAATTCGCAAAACTCGTGTATAGTTTTAGCTGTTAGTATACCACAAATTCTTTGTTATTGTCAATATGTAATTGACCTAAAATTTTATATTTTGCCGTTTAAATTTTCACACGTGTTGTTTGCAGAATCATATTTTAACTGTTTTTACCATTGTCGAAACAGAAAACTATTTAGCTTTAAATTTTAATAATTTAATATTATACAAATAATTATAATAATTAAAAGCGGGAGCTTTTGCATATATGTATCAGAAACATGATTAGAATAATTAAATCTTTTTTTACTTTTAAAATTTTACTTCATATTTTGAATAATAGAGATAGTCTATCAATACATGAATATTGAAAAAATACTTGGTTCTAATAAATTATTAGAAATTAATATTGGTAAATTACTAATTTTATAAAATGAGTGGTGAAAATGATATAAAATTATTTCATTTATCAAATATTATAAAAAAATTATCAAATATTATAAATGAAAAATACTCTAATTTATGATAATAATATTATAAATTATTTTTTCAGTTTTTTAACGTGATGGACGCCCAGCAGTTCCGGGAGTTCGCAAAGGCGACCGTTGATTACATAGCCGATTATATGGAAACACTTAGAGACAGGTAACAGATTTTGCAATTAATGATACTCTTAACTAATTAATAATTATATATTGTATTAAATAATAGTTATATGTCAATATTAATTCATTTATTAGTTAAATGTAATCATGCGCTATAGATAGATTAGAATAATCAAAGTATTGATGATGAAAATGATGACTCTATAATAATCATTGTCTAATAAAATCTTGTCGTAAACAAATTCTTCAAAATAAGGATGATAATTTATCAACATATAAAATTCATTATGAATAATAAAGTTTTGATTTTAATTAATATATAAATTATCACAAGAATCTTATTTTTCCAGGCCTGTTCTTCCTGGTATATCTCCAGGCTACTTGCACCATCTCTTACCGAGCGAGGCTCCTGAATCCAGCGAAGATTGGCATGATATTCTGAAAGATATGGATCGAGTAATTATGCCTGGTGTCACCCATTGGGCTTCTCCTCAATTTCATGCCTATTATCCAACAGCCAATTCATATCCTGCAATTGTTGGAGAAATGCTGTCTGCAGGACTTGGGTCAATCGGATTTAGTTGGGTGAGTAGAAGTTAGAGCAAATATTTTGGTATTTCTCTAGTTTTGGAGTTATAATTATTTTTGTTATTTCAATTATTATTATCTAGATTTCAAGTCCTGCGTGTACTGAACTTGAAGTAGTGATGATGAACTGGTTGGGAAAACTACTTGGGTTGCCCGAAGAATTTCTAAATTGCTCTGAGGGCAGAGGAGGTGGTGTAATACAAGTAATATATACTATTAAAATTATTGAACAAAATATATGTGTTTTTTAAAAAAATATTAAATTTATCAAATTATCCAGGGGTCAGCCAGTGAAGCCACCCTGGTGGGTTTACTAGCTGCACGTGAGCACATGGTTCGTTCTATGAAAGCCAATGGTTCCACCTTGTCTGAAGGCGAAATTCGTGCTAAATTGGTGTCTTATAGTTCGGATCAATCGAATTCCTCTGTAGAAAAAGCCGGTTTACTATCCGCAGTACCCATGAGACTTTTACCAGCCGATGACCAATGCATATTAAGAGGGCATACTTTAGAAGAAGCAATTAAGGAAGATAAAGCCAAGGGATTAATTCCTTGTTTTCTGGTAGCTACACTTGGAACAACAGGAACATGTGCATTTGATGCATTAGAAGAACTAGGACCAGTCTGCAAACGCGAAGGAATTTGGATGCACATAGATGCTGCATATGCAGGTACAGCTTTTGCGTGCCCTGAATATCGCCACTTAATGAAAGGCATAGAATATGCTGAATCCTTTAATTTCAATCCTCACAAATGGATGATGGTTAATTTCGATTGTTCAGCTATGTGGTTACGAGATTCAGACTTGCTAGTAGATGCATTCAATGTCGATAGAATTTATCTAAAACATGAACATCAAGATCATGCACCAGATTACAGACATTGGCAAATACCATTAGGAAGACGTTTCAGGGCTCTCAAAATCTGGACAGTTTTGCGTTGTTATGGTGTAGAAGGTATAAGAAACCATGTCCGCAACCAGATTGGATTGGCACAGCAATTTGCAAATTTGGTCAAAAGTGACGATCGATTCGAATTACCTTTAGAACCAAGCATGGGTTTAGTTTGTTTCCGATTACGCGGTTCATGTGAACTTACAAAAAAATTGCATGAAGTCCTCATGAAACGCAGAAAAATTTATATGGTAACATGTAAATACCAAGGTTTGATGATTTTACGCTTTGTGATTTGTTCGAGAATGTGTGAAAAACGTGATATTTACTTTTGCTTGGGAAGAAATTGTACAAGTTACTAATGATATAATACACACACCTACAATAATCAGTAAGAAAATCTCAGAAGTATCGATATCTAGAGATAAACAAGCTTTTGCTTAGTTTGAAAAACTTGATTCCAAATAATTAATTATACTCAGATTTAATTTTTATATTATAATATATGAATGATAAATATAAGAAATATATAAATAAATAAATAAACAAATTGGCAAAGTTTTATTATAATTATTGTTGAAGATAATACTTAGAATAGTACCTATTTATTCCAACTTGACTTATAATAAGGTTTGAAGGATAAATAATACCTGATCTACCTTAAATTCAATTTTTATGCGAAATTAAACATTTACCATTTCATCTCCAACTATTTGAATCTATCAGCAGTTGGCGCGCTCAAAATTCAAAATAACTTTTCTGCTCTGGCAATACTAATAGTTCTGAAAAACGTCAAAGTGTGAAATGTGCTAATAAAATATATAACCTATCAATTTTAATGTATAAATCTTATATTTAATATATTCAATCTCTAATAGAATTAATAGCCATATAGTAGAGCAAATTATGGAACAAAAATAAATATTTGAATTACCATTTGTATTAAGTAACTTGCAATAATGGCTTCTCCCAAATTGCTATTATCCTACTTAAAACTAACTCATTCGTGTAATGTTAAGTAAGTAAAGTCTAAATACCAATCAATAATATTAATCAATTTTAAATTAACATCATATTAATACAATCTACAGATTTAAACCATTATACATTGCAACAAGATCCTTTGTGGTAGGCTCCAAAGCATTTTCACAATACGCTTCTTATTTTATTGATCCTGTTTTCAAACCACAAAAACAAAATGAATTAGCTCAAGAAGGTGAGATCCAAAAACTTGCACACGTGCCTATTAAAGCTGCTCGAAATAATGATACTAGCTCTGTATTCCATGATGATCTACTTAGGTATGATATACTTATATAAATTTAGGCAAAAAAATCTTGAACGAAATGTAATGTCTTGCATACATTTTTTAGCAAATTCACAAATTATGTTATGAAAGGCGGACAAAAGGTTTTGGCTAGAAATTTAATAGATGAAGCTTTTGTGAATATTAAAAGAATACAAATTGAAAAATATCACAAGGCTAAAGAGGAAAATAAGAGTAATATTATACTAAATCCAAAAGTGATATTGCACAATGCTATTACAAATTGCAGGCCAGTTCTAACACTTACACCAATCAAAAGAGGAGGTGTTACGTATCAAGTAATATAACCTTTATCTGAATACCCACACATGTAAAGTTAGTATTAGTTTAAAGTGCTCAATTATTTTTTACATCAGGTTCCTATCCCGATCACTGAGAAGCACTCATATTTTTTGGCTATGAAATGGTTGGTGTCAGCCGCCCGTGAGAAGGAAAGAACTGTACATTTTCCTGAAAAATTAGCATATGAACTAATTGATGCTGCAAATAATACAGGCAGAGTTGTTAAGAAGAAACATGATTTACATAGACAATGTGAAGCCAATCGAGCTTATGCACATTACCGTTGGAGTTAAAATTTGTAATAATTATGTACATAGACTGCAGTTTGCTATATTTTAAGTAAATAAAACAAGTAATATAAAAGCTAAATTAAGATAATCTTTACTATTTATTAATAGGTTATATAACACCAAAAATTTCTTCAAAGGCATTCACATCATAAATAGCAGTTTTTTTAACAAGTTTTAAACTTTGATTGGTGGAATATCTCTTCAGGTAACTAAATATCCTGTTTGATTTAATTTCAGATCCTGGTACAATATCTGTTACAGGTATTTCAATATTTCTTCGTTCACCCCAATAATCTAGATATGCAACTTTGACTATACTTTTATCGGCATTTAAATGAATTAATCCAACTAAATTTGTTGCAAAGGCTCCAGCGATAGACAAAGTGATGCAACCGGTTATTCCTAAAAATGCAATTTATTTCACATGATCTATTTTTAAATATATTGACTTCTTATTGAATTTATGCTTACCTACTGAAGAAATTACATATAAATGGTCTAGTGAAGCAAAATTCAATTGTTGCAATATGGCACATCCAGGGATACTAACCATTGTTACTATACCTTGCAGTATTTTTAATTTATTAAGTACTGTTGCATGTCTTATAAAAGGTAATTTATAAATGAGTTCAAAATCTTCATTTGATTCTTTTGGTAAATTTTGTGTCTTTATTGTTCTACTTATTTGCAAACTTCCTATTGAGGAAATGTTGCTATTGATCAAAGCTCTTGAAGCAAATGCTTTAAGCATTTTTCTCAAATAAATCTGTGAAGAAATGTTGATGAAACACTTATACTAAAAGAACTTTTTTATGTTGAATTTTTATTTTTATACAGGTTTTGTGCATTTTAAATTTGCCACTCTCGATTTGCTCAAAATCGGTTATCTATGTATTAACGCAAAGATTCAGTAATGAATGTCATGTCTATATTAAAATGTTCTGTGGATATGGATAGTTGTCAACTCGTGGTGTGAGTTTTTGGTTATGTGAAAAAATATAAAAAACAATTGAAATAATAATAAAAGGATAAAGGATTTATCAAATTAATTATGGGAGTAAAGAATAAACTAAAAGAAATGTAAGTACACTATTTTTAATTATTATTTACCTGGGTTATTTTCTTAGATACACTCCGTGCTTAATCAATCACACTGTATTCTTATATTTTGAGGTTGTTAGGTTGCTCGTTCTTTGGCGCTCGTTTTGAATATAATTTCATATTATGTATTTGTATCCCCAATGCCTTTTATTTCAGATTTGAAGTAGAAAGTACCCATGGGGCGTTTTACACAGGAGGCAATGTTATATTATCTAAGAATGGCCTAGAATTATTATGTCAAAAAGAATTTACTGTTGAAATATTAAATTTATCACAAGGAAATGTTGTTAATAGCATTGGTAATGTAGAAGATGAAGATTCTATAAATACATTCACATATAGTGTATTTGATGAATCTGTAATAACTTCTCACAAAAGCGGTTTATTCAAAAAATGGACGAAGGATGGCATTTTATTAAAATCTTGGAAATCTATTCATAAAGGTCCTGTAAGTAAACTTTGTATAAATGATGATGGTAATATTTTGGCTAGTGGTGGCTCAGATTCTAGTGTAAGACTGTGGGACTTAAAACATCAAACATGCACACATAACCTTAGGGGCCTACAAGGTGTTGTCAGCGTTTTAGCTTTCCATCCCAACTCTGAGAAAAATTTGATATATGCAGCTGCAGACAATACCAAGATCTTAGCATGGGATTTAACAAGTGGCGATGAAATGATGCACTTTGCTGGCCATTTCAGCAAAGTAACATCAATAAACTTCACAGCCGATCATAAATATATAGTTAGTACAGGAAGAGACAAAGTCATAATTGTTTGGGACGCAAATACTGGTAAATTGATTAGAACTGTTCCGGTTTTTGAGAGTATTGAATGTTCAGTTGTGTTAAGTAATGATGTCAAAATTCCTGGCTACCAAAAATGGAAAAATGATGAAATTTTGGTTCTTATTGCTGGAGAGAAAGGCGTGGTGAGGATATGGGATGCTTCAAAACCTAAGGAATTATATATTCAAGAAAATAGTTTAGTAACGCCAGCATCTGAAGAAGGAGGATTAAGCATAACCCAAGTGTTCTTTAATGAAAACACTAAACATATTGGCATAGTTACTGTTGATCATAACATCTTGATTCACAAATTATCAACATTTAAATGTACAAAACAAATAATTGGTTTTTCTGATGAGGTTTTAGATATAGTTTTTATAGGTTCTGAAGATTCACATGTCGCAGTAGCAACAAACAGTGTTGATATCAAATTGTATGAAATATCAACCATGAGTTGTAATTTATTGAAGGGTCACACAGATTTAGTATTATCTTTAGCAAAATCACCTTCAAATTCAAATATCTTATTATCATCCTCAAAGGATAATACAATTCGAGTTTGGTCAATTAATACTGAAGAAAGCATTTATAAATGTTTTGCAATAGGTTCAAGGCATACAGCATCAGTCGGTTCTTTAGCAATAACTAATTTGAGCACAGACTTCTGTGTTTCTGTAAGTGAAGATTCTTGTTTGAAGTTTTGGAAACTGGATACAAATAATATTGGGGATGAGATACAACAGTTGCATTGTAGTTATACAGAATTAGCACATCAAAAAGATATAAATTGTGTTACTGTATCACCAAATGATAAAATGATTGCTACTGCATCTCAAGATAAAACAGCTAAATTGTGGTCCTCTGATGGTTTAGCATTGCTTGGTGTTTTCCGAGGTCACAAACGAGGTATTTGGTCTGCTCGATTTTCACCAGTAGATCAAGTTTTACTTACTACTTCTGCTGATTGTACAATTAAAATTTGGTCTTTGTCTGAATTGAATTGTCTTAGAACATTAGAAGGCCATGATAGTTCTGTTTTAAGAGGTGAGTTTTTATCAAAAGGAATGCAGATAATAACGACAGGAGCTGATGGTTTGATTAAACTTTGGAGCTTGAAAACAGCTGAATGTAACCATACAATGGAAAAACATGATGGCAGAGTTTGGGCTATTGCTGTTTCAAAAGATGAAAATACTCTGATAAGTGGAGGCTCAGATTCATTACTTGTTAAGTGGAAAGATGTAACTGTTGAAAAGAAGGAGCGAGAAGCAAAACTACTACAAGAAAAAGCTTTACAAGAACAAACATTGTCAAATCTATTACATGACAAACAGTTATTAAAAGCATTAAAATTAGCTATAAGATTAGACAGGCCTTTAGGTGTTTTGAAGATCATTAATTTGATAATTAAAAGTGAAGATAAAAATGAATTAGCTACTACACTAAAACAGCTAAAGAATCTTCAAAAAGAAAAATTATTTAAATATGCTTCATTGTGGAATACAAATAGTAAAAATTGTCATGTTGCGCAATTAGTAATAAATATTTTATTAGATGATATACAAAGCGGAGAATTCAAACCTGCAGGTCTTGCATCATTGCTCGAAGGTACAATACCTTATACGGAGAGACATTTTCATAGATTGACACAGTTATTGCAAGATTTACACTTTGTTAAATATACTATTAATTGCATGCAACCACATGCAAAGGAAGTAAAGATGGATTGAAAAGAAATAAATAATATTGAAGCTATGATTTTGTTTTAATCAATTATAATAGTTTATAATGCCAGTTATTCATAAACAAACCACTTCAAATTAATTGCAGGATCTTGACATTTGATATATATTATTTTTTACAATCTTAGCTGACGGTGTTGATTTTTTGCAAAGCTCATACGGATTCTTTTTGGATATCCCACAATTTCTGTTCCTTTCCCTCTGAAAAATTCAACAGGCAATAATATATTCTAATTTGGAAAAAAAATCAGTCATCTGACCTACCTTAAAAACTTGATATCAATATTTCTAGTTGCATGCATAACTGTGAGCACGAATATGATAGCAAAACTGTAATCCAACATGCAAGCCAGAATTTTGCTTCCATGTTTTACCATCGTTGAATCATCTCTTACCATCCTACATTCGACTAAAACGTAGTAACTTATAATTTTTGGTAATCTTTTGAATAGGAAGCGCTCGAGTGAATTCCAAACTAAACCCATTAATATTTCAATTCCAAATTTGCAAAATACAAACTAAAAAATATCGTTATTTGTGTTATGGAATTATAGGATGTATTCTTGTCTTTGGTTACTTACCTCTATAATTTTGATCAACACTTTATTAATTCTTCTAAATTGTCTTGGATAAATTATGGTGTCACAAAATAACACATACAACCCATAAAGAAATATATACGATGGTAATAGTGGCGCCTCGTATACTATAGGCGATAAATCCGCTGGTATGAAAAAATTATATCTTAGAAATTCAAATATTGCTGCTATTAAAACGGCTGATTTTGACGCCATGGTAATTAAAATATGCTCAATTTAAACCCTGATTTAGACTATTTGACAACAAAACAATTGAATCATACTTGATTTGATTAAAGGTATTTAAAAAAAAAATCAAAAATTTATTTGTTGATGCAAACGATTGCTGGATTTGTCGAATGGAGTAACTCCGGTGCGCAGTTTTCAACTTCCTGAAAAAGTTATGCTTTTGCTAGAAAATCCGACTTGATAATTTTATATTTTCTCGGCGTTTGAAGTCATTCTGAATCGACGAAAACAAAAATTGGAAAATCGGCTGTCCAAATTTCAAAAATTTCTGAATTTTTTGGCAAATCCCGCTAAGGTCTAGTTGGTTCGTTGATTCGGCAGAGCACTTTCTTAAGAATTAGCAGGAAAGTGCAAAAATATTCGTCCAAAAATCCTAAACTGACTTTGGAAATTAAAACTGTTCGATAGACATCATTTGGGAACCATGTAAAATCGGTCGAGAAATAAATATTTAAAAATTTTATCTAAATAGCTCAATCAATCAGCTTTTTTATTATGACCACTACTTTTTAGGTTCATGCAACTTGCTTTAAGACAAAAAGGCCACTTATACTTAGTTTTTGTCACTGCACTTCAGAATAAAATTTTGTTCCTATTCAAACATTTGTTTTCCTATTTCTGAAGTTTTAAAATCTAATGCCAATCAAATAATTGTGGGAAAAAAGCATATGGAAATCATATAAAGCATTGAACATAGAGGATTCAGAATATATGGTTACCAAATCTATATTTCGTACTTTCTTAAATGTTATTAGGTATTTTTACTAAATCAATTTTCAGTGGCAAACAAAATTATTTTATCGGTTACTTTTAGTGCTAAATCCACGAGGAATATCGCATCGATCTGAAAGCAAAACTTGTTCACCTTCATTTTACGCGGAAAATCGTGCGTATTTTATACATTACTATTGCTTCAGTCGATTATTGATTCATTGAGATATTTTTTAATTTGTATTATGCTAATTATATGCGTGATAATTGCGTTAATAATGCAATCTTATATCTTATGCGTGATTACGCAAAATATAATAGACTGGCTCGAGTGCTATTGATTGAATAAAATGTGGATGTGTAAAATATATCCATATATGTCTATATAATTTAAACATTAATTACAAAATCTATTTGAAAAAGAATCCTTTAATACACAGGGAAATTAGACATTATTTGTATTTATTAAAGGAAAGGAAAGGAAAGGAAAAGTCGGGGAGAAAAAGTTCGTAGGTTCGCCATAAAATCCGGCCACCTAATTTTGTTTCCTCGACGTTTCAAGTAGTTCTGAATTTTTTAAAGACAAAAAATGGAACAAAATCTGTGGGTGTATGTGAGCCAAAATTTGACTGTTCGTCAACGTTTATGCAAACACACATAGTGTTAAAAATATTGGTGCCAAATTTTACAGAATGGCTTGAAACCTCGAGAAACCATTAAATTATCAACTTGTATTTTCTGGGCGAAAGCGTAATAATCCGAGAAGTTAATAAATATATGTATTATATATCTGAGATCTTTTGTTAAAGTATATTTCCAAAATAGAAAAGTTCCAAAATATTATTATTAAAATATTAAATACCATTCATTGCTCTTAAGTCAAGAGCATCAAGGATTATAGATATTATATTATACTGAATGTAGTTTCCTGTATCTATATCAATATTGCCAAGATTAATTACTCCTATAGAAAATGTATATTATATATATATATATATATATATATATATATATATATATATATATAGATCCGAAGATAATGCAATTCACTACTAACTAAATCAAGTTAAGAGATTCATGTCGTTCCTATAGCAACAGAGTTCTACGCAACAAGTGTCTTGTATAATGCTCCCATGCTCCCCATTTCTTCGCAATCAGCGTTTATTCAACTTTTCTATTGAAAAATAATTCTTTTCATAACTTTTCATCATTTTGCATCTATCTGAACAATTTGTTACAAACATTTCCTTGTGAAGTAACAAAAATGTTTGAAAAATGCGATGATCAATAAATAATAGATATCGATTTTGATGATGAAACAAAAAGTACGAATTAATTATCGACACCTTTGAATTAGATTTTTAATCTAGATTATTTTTTTTATTAATCGATAATTAATAATAATTTTCTTTATTACTAGTAGAATACAAGTATATGATATGTGTTTAGAAAATATTTGTTTTTTAACCACATTGAGTTTTGGTTCATTTTAGTTATTTTTAATTCAAAATCATAATAGTTACCTAATATTTCACAAATAGAATTGGTCTAAAAATTGTATTGGTTTCCTGAATAAAAATCAGTGTTTCGGGAATAATATTACATTTAAAGTTTGAGAAAATATGGGGATGGTACGTGCTTTAAAACTTTTGCAAAGTTTGCTAAAATTGTTTTGCTTTTCTTCAGATTTCTTTCTGCAAGTAGTTCAATAATATATATATATATATATATATATATATATATATATATATTAATTAATTAATAATTACCTTTAAAAATATGTTGGAACATCTAAGAATCTAAAAATCTATTGATGCTCTATAGTTTTTATTTGATTTTCTTTTCAAAAATAAAGTACATAACAGTGCTCAATTTGTACATGCAATTTGCATTAAGACAAGGTGCCAAAAAATCCAAATTTGTAAATAATTGTAACAATAATATGTAATCAATACGAATCGAGATTTGGGGACGTATAAAATTATAACGACACGACTCATTATTGTAAACGTTATTGAATTTTTAAATTAAACCACTTTGTGAAAACTCATAATATTTTTTTTCAAAACCAGGCATTATATCATACCAAGTTTCAGTAAAATTATCATAAGATTTTTCTTTTAGACAATTAATTGGGAAGAAAAGACTCTGGCGTTCTTTATCAAAAACTATCCTAACTTAAGCACATTTTGAACAGTTTTTGAAGTTCCAAAATCGGTTCAATAAAAAATTAAAAAATGATAAACTATTCAAGTTATTAATTAAAATATTTTCTCTTTTAATAAAATCTAATACCAAATATTTTTTTCTCTATTTTATTTACAACTGTCCAGTTAAGGACATTTAGTAAATTTGGGGAATTTTCAATTGTCAGTAAATATAATAATAAATTAATCTATCTTATATCTTGAACTAAATCATGTTTCTAAACTTTTTTTTGATGCTTCAAACTGCAATATTCATCAAAATTTTTATAAAATAATCTACAGAAGTAATATAAAGTAAGGCAAACCTAATGTTAAACATTTTAAAACTAAATTAATTTTTAATTCAATTTATTTGGATATTGATGCCTCCTTAAAAGCGAGAAATTACTACTATCCTAACTTAAGCACATTTTGGACAGTTTTTGAAGTTTCAAAATCGGTTCAATAAAAATTAAAATATGATAAATACACTATTCATGTTATTAATAGAAATATATTTTGTCTTCTAATAAAATCTAATACCAAATAATTTTTTAATTTTTTTATTTTCTATTTTATTTACAACTGTCCAGTTAAGGACATGTAGTAAATTTGGGGAATTTATAATTGTCAGTATATTAAATATAATAATAAATTTAATATCAGTTTTCGTTTCTGGATTTCCTGGTGTTTCTAAGTGTTCTACGTATATAGACTAAGCTTTTGCTTTATACTAACAAGCGTAATGGTTCTTTTGTGTAGTGGCTGAACGTCCGGCTACGCAGTCATTCTGGTACGTCATTTCAAATGAATAAGTCGATGGGGTGAGATGGCGAGATTCACGACTTTAAGTGTTCATGAATCACAGATGAAAGCTTCTACGAGTTTTTGACAGGGTGGCTCGGAATTGTAAATGATATTTATTAAATTCCTATTTTGTATTTATTTTCTATTCTAAATTGCAACCTGTTGGTCAATCAGATTCACGACTGATGAATGAAAGCTTCTACGAGTTTTTGACAGGGTGGCTCGGAATTGTAAATGATATTTATCAAATTACTATTTATTATTTATTTTCTATTCTAAATTGCAATACTTGTTGGTCAATGAGATTCACGTATTTAAGTGTTCATGAATCACAGATGAAAGCTTCTACGAGTTTTTGACAGGGTGGCTCGGAATTGTAAATGATATTTATTAAATTCCTATTTTGTATTTATTTTCTATTCTAAATTGCAACCTGTTGGTCAATCAGATTCACGACTGATGAATGAAAGCTT